CTCATTTTAGATCAAAAGTTTTACAAGAAAAATCATACATTTTTTTTCCTTTTCTTTCATATGGAACACTTTTTTAATCTTTTCTTCACTTTTTCACACTTTCTCCCACTTATTTTCTACTTTCCTCAAAATAAACACACCCTAAAACTCAATCTACAAACTTTGATTTACTAAAAATAATAAATATTTAGATGTTTATAAATAATTTCCAACAAAATGTTTAAAAGTTCTTTAATATTTGTACCATCTCGACATTTTGTCGAGAGGTCTTAGCCAAGAAGGTTAGTCAAAAGGTTTTGTGTTGCATGATGCAACTTAGCCTCTATGTCTTTCATGTTTAAGATTCGTGGACTAGTGTACCTTCTTGACTTTTGGCTGAAAGGGTTGGTCGAGTACTTGCCAATCGTATTCCTAATAGACCAAGTAAACTTGACTCCCTAAAGTATGTTTGAAAAAATCCAATCTAAAATTCATATTTAGAACAAAATATTATCTTTATTAATCAAGATTGTATACTAATAAATAAATACTTCATCAAATTTTAAAATTATCAAGACTCATAATATGTATTTGATTTATCATTTGAAATTCATTCAATAAATTTTTACACATTCCAATGCATCAAATGAAGAAGTTATTCTTTTATCCCATTTAATTAAACGCAAGTTACGTTGAATATTGAATATAACCTTTTCACAAACACAATTATAAACTTATAATAATCAAATATAAAAACATAACCTTAAAATAAAGATAAATAGATTAAACTCTTAAATATTCTAACTTTCGTCACTCACCTAAACTAAACTCAAATCCGAACCAAAACAATATTGTTTTTTTCTTGTCTATTAGAATTACCTGTATCATCACTTCTCTTTATATCCATGAATTTCCTAAAAATTTATAGAGTATGACATGTGAGCTTAAAAAGGAATCACTTTAATGAAAGGATAAATAAGATAACAACAAGTGAGACAAAAGAAAACATGACAGATTTGGACCACCGTGACAAACTCAACTCATAATAAGAAGATAAAAATCATAATTATGATGATGAAATGAATGAACAGGTCCAAAAAACTTCCTTATAACAACTAAGCACGCACACCATAAAACCCGCTGTTACTCTCAAACCCCTAATCCAATTCAGACCACGAAAAACCAACTACATCAGTTCATGGCGACCCCCAACCCCACCAGATTCTCCCTTGCCATGGAGAGAACCGGGCAATGGTAAACACCATTCCTCTCCTTCATTTTCATACTCACGCTTAATTAATTCCTCTCCAATTCACGATTTCATGATTCAATTCCTCACATATTTTGTTATTACAGGGTTTTTTCCCCACAAATCCCAACCGATGTTATTGTTGCAGTTGGAGAAGACAACTTTTCTCTCCACAAGGTACTAAAAATTGCACTACAATGCAACCAACTTAATTCTTATTACTCTCCCATTTTGTGTTCAATTAACTTTGAATGTTGAACTTGTTAACACAGTTTATTTTGGCGGCAAAGAGCAACTACATCAGAAAGGTGATAATGGAATCAGAGGAGAGTGACCTAACCAGAATAGACCTCACGAACATACCTGGAGGCAAAGAAACTTTCGAGAAAGCGGCGAAATTCTGTTACGGCGTAAACTTCGAGATCACCGTTCACAACGTCACCGCGCTGCACTGCGCCGCCGTGTTCCTTCAGATGACCGACGAGTATTGCGACGGCAACCTCGCCGGAAGAACCAACGACTTCCTCTCTCAGGTCGGCCTCTCCACTCTCCACAGCGCTGTCGCCGTCCTCAACTCCTGCAGCCAGCTTCTCCCCTTCGCCGCTGAGGTCAAGGTCGTTGACCGCTGCGTCGACGTCATCAGCTCCAAGGTTTGCAGCGAGGCGAACTTCCCGAGCCAGTCGCCGCCGAACTGGTGGACCGAGGAGCTCGCCGCGCTCCACGTCGATTCTTTCGTGAAGGTGATCGCAGCCATGAAGCAGCGCGGCGCGAAGTACCTAACCGTCGCCGGAGCGTTGATCACGTACACCGAACGTGCGCTGCGGGAGCTGGTCCGCGACCAGACCGGCGGCGGGAGAGGAATCCGGTCAACGAAATTCGACGATTCCGATTCCGATTCGGAGTCGAGAAGAACCGAACAGCGCGAGCTTCTGCAGTCTATCGTCCCTTTCTTCCCGACGGAGAAAGCGGCGTTTCCGATCAACTTCCTCTGCTGCCTCCTCCGGTGCGCGATCTTCCTCCACGCGTCGAGCGCGTGCAAGCGCGAGCTCGAGAAGCGCGTGACAGAGATCCTGGAGCACGTGACGGTGGACGACCTCCTCGTGCTCACGTTCTCCTACGATGGCGAGAGGCTCTTGGATCTGGACAGCGTACGGAGAATCGTCTCCGGCTTCGTGGAGAGGGAGAAGAGCACGACGGTGTTCAACGCCGGCGTCAACTTCAACGAGAGCTTCTCCGCCGCGATGCTGCGCGTGACCAAAACCGTCGACACGTACCTTGCCGAGATCGCTGCGTACGGCGAACTCTCCATCTCTAAATTTAACGGCATCGCCATCCTCATTCCCAGAGGCGCAAGGAAATCCGACGACGATCTATATCGCGCCGTTGATATCTACCTCAAGGTACACCATAACATAATCACGTTTCAAAACCAGATTAACCGCACCATTTGGAATGAAACTCCCTATCTATCTACTACTCATTTTTTAATCACCTTAATTAGGAACTAACTAATTAGTAATTAATTAAGAAGATTAAAGTATTCCTAAGTTTGGATGTTTAAGCCATAAGTCAACTAGAAGACTAATTTTCAACCTAAAATTTAGACACACTTATTTTTGACTATTGCTACTGTGCCCTTTTATGTTATGTGAAGGGGTTTCAATGCCCCCCTTATGTAAGGAACAACCATAGATTGATATGTAGATTCTATAAGCTGATTCATTGTAAACTGGTCAAGGGATAATTTAGGATTTTGACATATGTGAAAACGATCCTGAACCTGGTTCCTGAAACCCGTCTGGAAACCTGTTTCTCGAACGACAAAGCAAGTTTGAAGATCTGAAAATTCCATCTTCTTCTCCAATGAAACAAGTTGGTTTGTGAGCCTTAAACCCTAATCATCTCCAACGAAGCAAGTGACACAAGTTCCCAGCAACTTTCTCTGGAGACAGCGTCCCGTCACGCACAAGTTTCCATTCGTGGCGTTGCTAGCATTCCCTGCGTAAGTAGGACCTGAGGCAGTGCCAGCCCCAACAGTAGTAATCCATGGAGCCACATCGGAGAGACTATCGGAGGTAGGACCCACATTCCCAACGAAGCAAGAATCCAAAATCCCTTTCTCCATTGCAGAAAAAGCTCCGATAGCTACATGGTCTCTGAAATAATCAGCCACTCCACCACCGAGCGACAACGAAAAACATTAAGTTGTCCGTTATCACCCTATCAATCGTGGCCAGAATGTTGGAGTTGAAACACCCTCCCTTCCAGCAAACCTTGTAAACAACGACTCTCAAACGCGTGGCCATCCCACGTGTCGTCCCGGACTCGTAGCCGAACAAACTCGCACCGGAAACCACCAACCCCGAGGCAGTGCTAGCGGTGTAGGTATTGTGGTTGTCGTCGTCATGCGACGACCTAGAATACTCCTCTGTTTACAGTAACGCCTTGGGTGCAAATTACCCAATTATCCCTTGACCATATGTCAAAATGTCAAATTACCCCTTGACCAGTTCATAATGAGTCAGTTTATAGAATCCACATGTCAATATATGATTGGTCCTTACATAAGGAGCACCAAAACCCCCTCATATAAAAGGTCACCGTAGCAATAGCCCTTATTTCTATGACATCCAGAAATTAATACTACTATACTTCTCTTTTATTTTATGTTTTAGTTTCTACAAGAAAAAAAATTGTAAATTTTTCATACGTTGTATCAAAGTTAAGTTTTCTTTTTTTGGTAACTGATCACCTTTTTATGGTAACTCGAAGTTAAGTTTTCTGTCCATAAGGCGCACGTTAAAAAGAATTTACAGCGAAAAACTGTCACTAATAATCAGTGGGGCCAAGCCACGGTGTTTTTATATATTATTTAAAAATTTTAAAATTAGATAAAAATTGAGATTAAATAATAAAAATATTTAAAAATTGATAATTTGAATGATTAGAAATAAGTAAATATAAGTTAGTATAAGATGGTTAATTTTTAATATTATTTTTTATTATTTAAAAATTTAAGAGTGAAATATTCTAAACAAAATATAGAAAAAAAAATATTTATAAACCTCATATATTTAAGTATAAATAACTTTTTAAGTATATGAGTATAAATAACTTTTTAGTGATAATAAGTCATTATAAAAAAATTGTGTAAAAATTAAAAGTATAGTTTTTTCTTGTATATACCAGAGTTTTAAAAAAAATGTGCATAAGTAAATTGTAATTAGTTTTTAAACTTTAAATTTTATGCAAAATAATGAAACCTTATATACTTAGAGAGTGATCCTAAGATTAATTAAATTTAAATGAGAACATGTATTAAAAGGTGTGCAAAAATAATATTTTAGAATTGGACGAAACTTATATGTAAAATTTTGAGAGTAAATTTAATCATTTTCCTAGAGTTTGTTGAGATTGTACATAACTTTTTAGCTTTTGTTTAACGTTTACGATAACTTTTTTTTTACAAGTTGTAATATAATTTGTTTTCGATAATTAAAAATTTATGTAATACTAAATAGTGTTAATTTAGTATTTCTCAAAAAAACAATTAAAGTAATTAGGTTGGAATATGTGCAATTTCTCACAATTTTAAAGATTCTTTATGTAATTTACTTAAAAAATGTAAACTATTTCGAGAAATATGTGAATATTTTTTAAAACTAGCATTCACTCATATATAAATATTAAAGTTGTGAGTGATTAATATTATTTTACAATTATATTGTATCATATTTTTATTAAAAACAATCATGGAATTATTTTTATAAAGGATTTGACCATACAACATATTATCATATACCTTCTCATTCTTTTATACAAGAAATAAATAAATAATTCATAGAAAGATAAAATTTGTATATAATTCTTTAAGTATAATTGATATTATTTTTTAATAAGCGTTAGGATTTTATATGTGCTTGTATTTAATGCATTTCTTATTAATATATCTTATTAATATATATTTAAGTATATTATTGAGATAAAATTTAACACAAGCACATAGTTCATGCATCTACTAACACGAGCAATAAAAAAATTAATAATTTATATTTCTTAAATTCTCTAATAAAAATTGATGATTATTTTTTAATAATAAATACTTTGTATTAATATTATTATTAAAAAAGAATAATTAATATTTAGTTCTTATAATTAAGTAAAAAAAAGCTAAGCTGTATTTGTTTGTTATTTAAAGGAAAAGAGATACTCCCTCCGTTTTTTTTTTCATAGTCGTTTAAGGTTTTGCACGGGATTTAAGGAAATCATTGATATTTTAGTTTTTAAAAATGTTTATTACTTACTTTCCAATTTTATTCTTTATTTTTTTTTGCATTTTTTAGACTGTTGAACTACTCCATTAAATAGTTGTCCCTTTTTTTGTTTTTTTTATAGTATTTTGTTGGGAACATATTGCTCTTATAAATGCACATTAACTTTATATGAGTAGTTGGAGAAAAATTAGGTAGACATTAAAAATAAATACATATATTGTTTAGGAAACATGTATTAATTATTAAGGGTAAAAATGGAAGAAAAAAATTAATAACTCAATGATCTTAGTAATATGACAATAAAAAAAAAATAACAAACTCTGACAAAACGACTATGAAAAAAAAATGGAAGAAGTAGTAAGTAATAAATAATAATAGGCACGCACTGGCGCGTGTTGTTGCAGGTGCACCCGAACCTGGACGAAATAGAGAAGGAAAAGGTGTGCAGCGTGATGGACCCGCTGAAACTGTCATACGAGGCGCGTGTGCACGCGTCCAAGAACAAGCGGTTGCCATTGCAGATTGTGCTTCACGCGCTGTACTACGATCAGCTACAGCTTAGGAGTAGTACGGCGGTGGAGGCGATGGCGGAGAGGAGGCAGTTGCGGGCGGACGTGTCGTTGGTGAGGGAGAACGAGAAGTTGCGGTCGGAGCTAATGAAGATGAAAATGTTCATTTCCGATTTGCAAAAGAATGTCCACGGAACGTCGTCGTCTGGGAGGGAAACTCTGGGGCCCACCAAAAAGCCCACGTTCTTGTCTTCCATGTCCAGGAAATTGAGCAAGCTCAACCCCTTCAAAAATGGTTCTAAGGACACCTCCCATATTGACGATGCACCCCTCGAATTGACCAAGCCCAGAAGGAGAAGGTTCTCCATTTCCTAGATTCCTTTTCTTCACCAAATTTCCATGCTTTTTTAGTTTAAATATATCCCTTCGTCAAAATCTTTTTTTATTTTTTTTATTTTTAAAGTAGTTACATTTTCTTTGTTGATTGCTATTTTTTTTAATATTTTTTATGAAGATGTCATTTTGTTATTAAGAAAGAAACAGGCGTGATTTGATTTTATCATATTTGTTTGTCAAAATAAATTAATGCTGTGATGCACTTTATCTGAGTAGGATGAATTAATGAGAATTATAATACAAAGGTGTCATTCTTGCTAACTTTTAATCTTCTTCTGCATATGTTAATTATTTCACGCTCTTGTATCTTTTGGACTTTGGTATTGGCTATCTATCAATGAGTACTAGATAGATACTAGAAGAAGAAAAATTTGCTAAGATATTAGATTGTTGATAACATATAGTTTAGCTATAAAAAAAAAGGAGGGAGATAACAGAAGATTTAAAATGGAAACGAGAACCTGTAGGGTAGAAATTTGGAGAAGTTAATTATAGCTAGAGACTAAATAATAGGGAAACAGAGCTACTGAATTCAACACATGCAATGATTGTGCAACTACCATCATTTTAACAATTCAACATCCTTTTATTTTGTATTTGTACTTGAATCAATGGGTTATTTGAGAAAAAAAATTATGACTTTTTTTCTAAAAAAGAAAAAAGACAAGCATTATTATTATTTTTTACATTAAAATTTTTTATTTTAAAAAAATTGGTGAGCAATTTCATTTAACCCATCAACTCACAATGAGTCAAGCTAAGTTAAGATTTTCTTGACTCATCAAAAATAAATAGAGTTGAACTATCTTATTCAAAGTCCTAACTCATAATGAGTCAACTCAAATAAGTTGAATTAATTATTTTGATACTTCTATTTCAATGATCAAAGTTTTCTTATTCTAAAAGTCTCTCATAGATAAGTGAACAATAAGTAAATAATACAAGTAAAAATTAACAATTAATAATTACATATTATTTTAATCCGTCTTTTTTGGATGAGCAGAATTATCATGTTGAAAACCTTCTATTTTGGATAGAGAATTAGAGATCATTGCACGATATAAACTTATAGCAATGATGTACCCTTTTTTTTATACGAAACAAAAGAAGTAGACGAGTACATACGAGATGGGCCTCATCTTAAGTTTCTTGGACCTTAGTATTGCTCAAAATAAAGGGCTCATATACACATCCCTCTCACTCTTTTTTTTTTTTTCCTCATCTTTTCACCATCCCCAGAGTTTTTTTTTATTATTTTTTTTATAATTTCTATTCTACACGTTCCCTCTCTGACACCCCAAATTGTGTATCTCACTTTCCCATCTTTTCATCTTCTCTTTTAAGCATTGTTTCTTTTGCCCTCCATTGTCTTCTCTACCTGAGTTTTTCCACATTTATCTTCTCTAGCAACGATTCATTTTCTTTTTCTGCATGTCGCCAATTTGACAATAACTAGTTTTTCCATTATGTCAAAATACAAAGATTTTCATCATATATCTTTTGTTGTAATTTATTGGGCCTTATTTATATAACGGTGTCTGGTCCCCTGGCCTGCGAGGGGATAATTAATATATGGGACCATTATCCATGCTTGGAGGACCATGTCCATGTCACTCTTCATCTTTTAACAAATAACAAAAACAACGCAACTCTCAAAACATTTTACCTTTTACCTAACTCTTCTTAACATTGCTATTTGTGAAGAATGCCACAAAAAAAAAAAAAAAAAAAAAATTCTCTCACTCGGTTGTTGATTTTTCCTAACCTTGTAACAAATCGTTTCATTCCCAAATATGTATTTTTTTTTTAAGTTATTTCTATACTATGTTTGACTAAAAATACTCCTTCATAATGGAGAAAAAAAAACCTCATTAGATGATAGAAATTTATAAATTTAGCTATTGATAGAGATATGAAGATACCGGCTTCGATTATCATCTAGAAAAGAGTTGTTTCAGTAGTTACTAAATGATTGATTGCATTAGCATGTAGTGGTAGTGTAAGTGAATGGTTTATGCACTCAGAAAAAAAAAAAAAAAAAGGAAACATGATGTGACATTCGACATTAATAGAATAAGCCAAAGTAGAGTGGGGCTTAAAATAAATAGTCTTCGTCTTCATCTTCATCTATCGTTGTAGAGTTGAAAGTTGAGTTTCATGCCGTGCACTACATAATAGTTGTGTCTCTAGTATTCAATATTCATTGCTCTAGTCCATAGTTAAATTCAAATCAGATCAATTAGATTGACTAGAAGTTGGTCAAGTTATTAATCCGGATAACTTAAAAAAAAAATTGTAGAACGAAAAAAATCAGTCAATAAATATAAATAGCTAACATCGTATAGAAATCGGCAGTAAAAAAAAATTTAAAAAAAAAAACTTTGAAACCTTTCTTTCTTTTTAAAAAAGAAAACTCTTACTTTTAAATTTTTTTTATTTTAAATCGTATTTGAAAAAAAAATGCTATGTATGAAGTGTTTATATGGGTTGTTATTATTTAGGTATTTATTGTGATTTTTCTTTAACTTGGGAAACATGTTATATGATTTTTTAATTTTAAAAAAAATCCTAAAATAATTATATTAATTTTTTTTATTTAATATATACCATAATATTAATGTACATATTCATATATCATAATATTAATTTTTTACTCACCAATGCTGTAATCTCGCTTTTGCCTAAGAATACTTTTTTCTTATATTTGGGGGTATAATATCAAGGATACAAATCTTTTCCTCAAATCTCTCTTTTAGAAATATGTGTTGCTTCCCTTTTTCATAATCAGATACAAATCTTTTTTTTCTTCTAATCTCTCTTTTATAAATATATTTTGCTTCTCTTTTTCATAATCATCCTATACGCCGCATCTATACTTGTAATTAAATTTGCATGAGAATTATGAGATTACGATCTTAACTAATCTTAGGGGAGTGTATTGGATTAGGATTTTAAAGGACTCAGCCACATGTAACCCATCTTTTTTTCACAACAATTCAGATTTTCGACCACACGTTATTAGGGCCATGTTTGAATGATTGACGGACGATATTTTACGGTACATATATTATTGAAATATAAAAAAAAATGATGGTATCATATATAACTATCTATTTTTAATTTCGTTTTATCATTTTCTTGTATGCGTAACTTTAAAATATTTCAAAATGAAAAAAAAAATTTATTGTTTCATTTCTAATGTTTACAAAATATTCTTTTCATAATCATGCGAGAAACTCATGATATCTTAACTAGTAAAGATGGTGTCCGGGTATTCCAATATCTACATTAGAAACACCTATAAAAATATTCCAACACTTAAATATAAGGGAGTCTAAGCAATAAATCAAGTTAGGGTAAAATGATATCTCATATATATATATATATATATATATAATGTTCTTGTCATAATCATGCAAGTACTCATGATATCCTAACTAGTAAAGATGGTGTTCTGGGTACTCCCTTATATTTAAATGTTGGAGTGTTTTTACATGTGTTTCTAATGTGGATATTGGAGTACCCAGAACACCATCTTTACTAGTTAGGATATCATGAGTACTTGCATGATTATGACAAGAACATTATATATATATATATATATATAT